CCAAAAAATATTTTATATGAATGTTTATAAATTTGGATTCTGCTTAAAAATTCTGAAAAAATTCTTTTTTTTTTCAAAATGCCCTATTTTACGAGAAACATACAGAAAACATAACATTTTGAATTTTTTTATTTTTTCATGAAATCTTTTTAACTTTTGAATAACATCACATGCAAAATTAGGATTTTGCCGAAAAATTTCAAAAAATAAATTTTTCCCAGAAAAAAATTTTCCCAAAAATTTTCAAAATTTTGTAATTTGATGAGAAACATGCAGAAAACAAAATTTTGCAGTTTTTTTCAAACACTTTCATGAGTTTTCAAGTTTTTTTGCGAAATTAGGATTTTGCCAAAACGTTCTCCCCAAAAAAATGTTCCTTAATTTGTTTCAAAATGCTCTAATTTGATGAGAAACATACAGAAAACAACTTTTTTTTTTAAAAAAAAAAGATACATTTTTGAGAAAAGAAATTCCAAAATCTTTCATTATATTTGCGTACATCTAACCATAAATGACATGCTAAGTTTGGATTTGGTTGAAACATTTCAAAAGAACAATTAGAAATGAATAATAAAAAACATTTCAACAATCAAAAAAAACAATGGCCTCAGTTAAAAAATAAAATACAAATTATTACAAATAATAAACATACAACATATATAATATATAGGTGCCGACCCTGTTGCAGAAAGTGTTCCTGCAGGGGGCGACAGAGCAGAGACAGCAGCTTTCCTAGTAGTAGAAGAACAAGGGACACCTGACTAGCAGCAGAACGGAAAACATGGCGGCACCACTGAGCAGCGTTGGTCGTCTCTGTTCCCTGACAGGGCGAACCTTCGCCCCGGTGTTGGCTGCACACAGCTGGAGGTCCGTGTGTCCTGCAGCGAGGAGGAGCTACATCACCGCCTCCACCGGCAGCAGTGAGTGTCCGGCGTTACATTTACGTAAACAACAACAAATAAACAGAACGGTAGCTGTTAGCAGCCGGAGGCTAATGTCCTACCAGGCGTGGGGTGAACATTCTTGACGCCGTAGAAAGTTGACGTTTACTCCCAGTTACTGTTCAAAACAAACGCGGACGAGGCAAATTAAAACAAGTTCGAGGTCAGTCAGATGTCATTTTAACGACAGTAAAACATGTAAAACAGAAAAATATTTTCACACAAAACTTTCTTCAGCTGCGATACAGTTAGTTCTATTTGAACAGGTTTTTCAACTTTTCAGATATAAACGATTTTGAAATCAGAGCTAACGCGGAACTGGGAGAAAAACCGGGATAAATTATTAAAATTATGAATTGAACATTTTTAGCGTCAGATTTTTTTTCTTCTTTGAAATGAACTCGATTTTAGTCAAAAGTAAGTTGTATTCTGGTTTAAAAAAAACAGTTTTTCTTGAACTTTGTTTTTTTTTTTAACTTTCTGTATAAATAAACGAAAATGATGTAGAAACTTTATAAAAACTTCAGGTAGAGTTTTCAGTGTGAACTACATGTTGGAGTAAATAGAGTTGAGTTGTTCAAACATCAATATTAAAATATTTGAAATTTAAAAATATTTGAAATGTTCAATTGGTCTAAAGTCAAATCTGTGTGTGTGTGTGTGTTGCAGACGTGCAGTTCAAACTGGACGAGAGAACAGCCCACAGCAGCCTGGACCTCTTCAAGAAAGACACCGGTATCATCTACCGCATGCTGGGCCTGGACCCAAGCCAGGTCCAAGACAACCCGGAGAGATTCCGAGACTGGGCCGTGGTCTTCGGGGATCAGAAGGTCAGCGGCGGACGACACTACTGGGAGGTGACGGTCAAGAAGTCCCTGGAGTTCCGTCTGGGCGCGGCCGAGGCGCTGATGTCCAGAGACGACTGCGTGGGCACCAACGCCTCCTCCTGGGTGTTTGGATTCGCTCAGCGGAAGTGGTTTGCCATGACCAACAATAAGGCGGTCCCCGTGGCGCTGGTCGGGAAGCCCGACCGCGTGGGCATCCTGCTCGACTACGAGGCGGGGCTCCTGGGGCTGGTGGATGTGGAGAAACCCAGGATCATCCACAGCTTCAGGGCCAAATTCCACGCTCCTCTTTGCCCTGCGTTCGGACTCTGGGACGGGGAGCTGCTCACGCACTGTGACGTGGAGGAGCCCGCGGGCCTGCACTGACGCTGTGTTTGTGGTTCGTTCGTTTGTTGACCCGGGCAGCAGTCGGCACCGCTGCACCACCTGGTTGGAATTAAAGCAAAATCCTCCTCGGGAGTCGCTGTAACCACTGGTGATGGCTCATTTCTGATTGGCCAAGAGAGAGAGACCTGTATCCCTGCAGAAGACGTTGGTTTTTTTTTTTTGGACCTGCACTGTTAAAAAAAAAAAAAGAAAATAGAATGTGACACGGACGTGATGCACTGGTGCTCTCCTTCACACTCAGACTTTCACAGCAGTTGTGTTTTTCCTGTATTACCTCATATCAGAACAGATGGTGTTTTTATATCGACCACTTTCAGTTTCTATTTTTTTTTTTTTTTCCTCTTCAGCCAGGACGTTAACCTCATATCCAGACTACATTCTATAAAGTAAGTGTCATCAGAACTGGCTTCATCGTTGTCTTTATGAACAAGATACAAGTTTGAAAATAAATTTAAAAAATTTGCCAAAATAATTTCATCCTAATTTTTTAACATCTGACCAAAAATGCTGAATTAGGAACATCTGATAAATTACAAAAAAAAACTGAAAAAAAATCTCAAAATGCTCTAATGAGATGAGAAACATGTAGGCAAGAAAAAAAAATTGCCAAAAAAAAGTAATTATAATTTTTTTATTTACAACCAATAGATACATATTTACATATTTGAATCATCGTCATCTGTTTTCAACACTGCTCTGTTGTTTCTGTGGCAGGTCGGTAGGTTTCTGAAACTGTGGCACTCGTACCACTTTTGGTACGGGTGCGCCCTCCGGTGGTAGCTACTGTAACCTGATTAGGTCAGCTGTGATAAAGTACAGTTGTTATATATATATTCTGACTTCAGCAGAAGTAAAAGCAGAAAGAACTATATTTATAAATACACTCGACACTAAAATATATTTGATATTAACACCTGTGTGTTGAGCAGGGCCTCGGTCTAAACCACGTCACCCTGCTGCTGCACCACGGGTTGAAACAACCTTCGCCTTCAACCCCCTCGTATAGAACTTTACTGACACAGAACTTTACCTCTACTCTGGAACCGACTAATTCACCATCACTGGTTCCTCACTTCTCTTCACCACCATTATCTGGTCTCTGTCCGATTGAACCATGCCCCTCAGTTTGAACCACCCTCCTCAGTTCTGATTTCGCTTCTCAATTTGAATACCGCTCCTCGATTTAGATGATGGCCCTCAGTTTGAACCACACTCCTGGGTTCAGATGATGCTCTTCAGTTTGAACCACGCCCCTCAGTTTGAACCACGCTCCTGGGTTCAGATGATGCTCTTCAGTGTGTCCAGCGGAGTCTTCTCCTCCGACTCCTTGTCCGTGAACACCAGCTGGTATTCCTGCAGGACCGAAGCGATGACGTCGTGGCCAAACTGCATGGCGTCATCTAGTGGTGTGTTCCCCCATCTGGAGGATAAATACGGAACATCAGTGTAATACCGGTGACACACGGTGGTGGTGTTTGTATTACAGTGGAGTTCAGGTCTAATATCAGGTGTTTGTTCTTCACCTGTCCTTCAGGTGAGGGTTCACTTTACAGATTTCAGTCAGGAAAATCACGGCTTCCACGTGACCTGGAACAGAAGATCAGCGTCAGAACTCTGCTGTAAAGACCCGACCTCGGAGGAACTGAGGTGAGAACTGACGAAGACGTCTCACCTTCGGCTGCTGCGACGTGGAGCGGCGTCCGAGAGTCGTAGTCTCTCTGTTCCATGTTCATTTCTGAGAGGGCGAACCTGTGGCGATGAGAGTCGGGAAGAGAAAACAGTTTCAGGTCAAACTTTACTGAGTAGATTTACAAAAAAAAGCTACAACTACAACTTTGATATGAGTCAAAAAGTCCTAAGACAAATCTAAAAAAAAATCTTTTCTCTGTTTCAATCAGAGAATTCTTCTGTAGAATTCTGGAAGATGACCTTTGACACCAGGTCACGACCTGGTGCCCTGTCTGGTCTGAGGACTAAAATGAAGGACAAAAAAATAGAAACAAACAGATGGAGTATGTTCAAAAATATAATAATGATAATTTAATTTTATACTGTTTTTTTTATTTGCAGGGCCTTACCAGTAGGTGGCGCCCTTGGTGCCCACCTCTGTGGCCTACTGTATGTGACGAGCTGGCCCTGCATTCATCTGTACTACAAACAATGTTTTATTGTCATGATGTTGTACTAACATCCTGTACACAACCAAAAATGTTCAGTTTTATAATTATTTAAAAAAACTTTTTTTAAATTGTTCTGTTTCTGCAGAGTCATTTCTAAATGTTTTTCAACACTAACCCTGAGTTTGAGTTGATTTGAGCTAACATCCTGTACACAACCAAAAATGTATTATTTTAAATAATAATAATTTTAAAAAATCGTTCTGTTTCTGCAGAGTCATTTCAAAATGTTTTTCAACACTAACCCAAAGTTCACGCCATTTAATGGTTTAACATCCGAGTTTGAATTTTTATATCAACATTTAGTTTTGGTATTTTTTTTATGTTTTATGGTCAGCTAATAAATAGACATTTTTTCTTTAAGACTTGTACTTCACACCATCTCCACCTGGTGGCTCTCCTACCTTCTCAGAGCAGAGACGTCACCACTGTTGGCTGCGAACATGACCTTCACCACCAGCTTGTTCTGTCGGAAAAAAACAACACGAAGGTTAGAATCTGGAGGAGGACGGTGGTTCGTGGAGTCGACGGTGAAATCGTTGAGTCACCTGATCGTCGTCGGACCTCCTCCGAGGGTCGTGTTTCTTAGTGAAGTGTCTCAGGTTGTCATAATTGTGGAAGTTGAAGTGAGAAACCAGGTCCTGAGAAGAAGAAAATTCAAAATTACAGTTGTTTTAAATTTTCCTCATTAAAAAAAGAACTAAAAACTAATTCATTCGTTCATTTCAGCCGCCCAGAAATATAGTATTAATTAATTTAATTAAATCCCCCGAACATTTAAACATGAAAAACACAGATAGAAACAAATATATTGATCATATCAAATAATAATTATTAAGAAAACATTTTATATAATTGTTATAAAAATGGGTACGAGTGGAAAAATGGAGCTCAGTTGATCAGAGATCCTGTCGTTCTGACGGAGTCGTGGAGCAGAGTGAATACCTGACAGAAGTGAATTCCACGAACACTGTTTCCCATGCGGTCTAACGGCGGAGACCAACACATCATACCCATGACGTTGGGGACGACCAGCAGGACTGCACCCGACACCCCAGATTTAGCAGGCAAGCCCACCTAAAGAGAGGACATAACAGACGTCACCATGACGACAGAATCACATTACCACAGTGAAGACTCCAAGTATCGTATTTTCTGAACTATATGTCGCACTTTTTTTTCTCCATCCTTTGACTGGGTTTGCAACTCATACTCAAGTGTGACTTATATAAAAAAATATATAATTTCACATTTCACAGCCACTAGAGGGCACTGGTGCGACTTAAACTCCGGTGCAACTTATAGTTCAGAAAATACAGTAAAACTAACAATGAAAGAAATAAACAAATAATAAACAATAAAATCATTTTTTTTGGATCGCTAACACAGCTGACCAGAAAGTGAGCAGAGCTTTGACACCAGTGGAACATTTCAACTAAAAACACCGTCTCCTGTGGAGAACTATTTCCACCATGGAGACTCGGGTCGCTGACTCGACATGTATTTAGGATCGGTACTAGTGCCTCCCGAGCATCAACTCTTGGTTTTAACAGCTTTTTCAGGTACATTTCTCGGGGACTTACGTGAAAAGCGAACTGTCCAGAGAAGTCGTACATGCCACAGGAATGCATGAGGCTCAGAGTGTTCCGAACAGCTTCAGCGCTCAGCACACGCTTCCCCGTTATTGGACATATGCCGCCGTTGGCCAGCGTGGCCGCCATGACGCTTCCTGACTCACAGGTGACTTCGATGGAACACAGCTGGAAGAGAGAAGTTTACAGGTCGTTCAATGTTCTGTCGCCGACCAGCTGCATGGAATTATGGGTAAAAGGTTGAACCCCAGAGCTGACAACACAGAACCAAAGGACTATTGTCTTTATTCTATAAACATATGGCTCGTGGGCCAAACCTGGCCAGCTTGATAAATTGTGAAAATAAATAAAAAATACACAAACAAGTCATGGTTAGGATATCTTTTTGTAAAATTAATAAATAATAATAAACTCATATTTTATCATCTATACATAATGCTATAATAATAATAATATACTTGTACTTCTTTTCATGAAAACTATGTGGTGTGGCCCGTGAACCAAAATGAGTTTGACGCCCTACAAAAGTCACGTGACTCGACTTGTGGTCGTCTCACCTGGAAGTAGAAATCCAGGGCTGCGATCATATCTGCGTTGTCGGGAAAACACTGCAGGAACAAGGGTTGAAAATCAGACACAGAGTTGAGGAGAAGATGGTGAATAATTCTGTGATCGTGGATTCTCACCTTTTTCTCCTTCAGGTAATAACCAATGGCGTAATTCCTGTCACCGGTTTCCCTCTCTGACTGAAAACTGCAAAAATATCAGAAGAGAAAAATAAACCTCAGTGTTTCCCACAAGGAAGAACATAAAGACATTTTCTGATGTTTTTAATCATTGAGGCAGAATGTACGATGATTTTCATAACAATCTGGCTACACTGCCATCTACAGTTCAACAGCAATACTGGAAAAAAAACGAGTGAACAAGAAAATAAAAACGACTCACGTAGCGTTACTGAAGCCGACGTACTCTGAACCAGTCATTTCCTTCAGGAACTCCATCACCTGCAACAGAATGGTGTCGGTAAAGACAAGGTTCTAAGACTGACAGTAAAACTAAATGGTAACTTGTCAAAACAGAAATAAATTATGGACTCATGGACCAAAACAAAAAAA